TGCTGAGAGTGGCTGCCGAACGCCGGCCTCGAAAGCCGAACGTTAAAGGTTATAAACGTATGTTGCATGAGGGCACCCCAAAACTATATTCGCGCCAAAGCACTATATTCTAGCTTGGACTGTCAGTATGTGTCATCTTGCGCAAGTGTAAACAACATACACAACAAGACCATTCAATATGTCGACTTTCGGGGCGAATAAACGGAATTTGCGGGAAGCTGTATTGTTCTGCTCCCATTTGAAGAAAACTGCTGCTGCGAGTCGGTTGCAGCTCGAGGAAGCTTACGGGGGTTATACTCCATCGATTTTAACATGTGAGTACTGGTTTCGACGCTTCAAAAGTGGTGATTTTAACACCGATGACAAGGAACGTCCGAGTCAAACGCTCCAAGAATTGTCCGTATCATTGGGGGTTGACTTGTCAACAGTCGGCAAACGTCTCAAAGCCATGGGTATGATTCAGAAGCAAGGAAATTGGGTAATATACGAGCTGAAGCCGAGAGACGTGGAGAGGCGGCTTATGACGTGCGAACAGATGCTCGCGCGTCAAAAAAGGAAAGGTTTTCTGCATCGCATCGTCAATGGCGATGAAAAGTGGATCCATTATGATAACCCCAAACGTAAAAAATCTTATGGATACCCCGGCCACACATCGTCATCAACGCCAAGACCGAATATCCATGGATCCAAGCCCATGCTCTGTATTTGGTGGGATCAGCTGGACGTCATTTATTATGAGCTGCTCAAACCGTACGAAACCATCACCGGGGTTGCGTTTGAGCCGGACATTGAAGGAAAAACGGCCGCAATTCGAGCAGCGGCACGACAAAGGCATTTTGCAACATGACAACGCTCGCCCTTATGCCTCAAAACCCGTCAAAAAGTACTTGGAAACGTTGAAATGGTATGTTCTGCCGCACCCGCCGTATTCCCAAGAAATTGCCCCGTCCGATTACTTCTTGTTCCGATCGATGGCACATGGCTTGCTTGACCAGCACTTCATCTCTTACGAGGAAACGAAAAAATGGATTGCATCAAAAGACGAACTGTTCTTCCGAGTTGGTATCCGAAAATTGACAGAAAGAAGGGGAAAAGTAGTGGCTAGTGATGGACAATACTTTAAATAATCGTTTTGTAACCATTTTTGCTCAATAAAGCCTCAAATTTCGAAAAAAAAAACCTTTAATTGTATTCCTGTGATAGCACACACATTTAAATGCTCTATCATGTATTTCTTCGTCCAGTCAGGCATAATGAGAAGAAGCTCATTATACCCTGAACCCATTTAAAATGAATTAAAAGGGTATTATGTATTTGTGCAAATGTATGTTACAGGCATAAAGTATATATATTCTCAACAGCCGAGTCGAATTAGCCATGTCCGTCTGTCTGTCCGTCTGTAAGTCCGTCTTTAAGTCCGTCCGTCCGTCCGTCCGTCCGTCCGTCCGTCCGTCCGTCCGTATGTATGAACGCAAGGATCTCAGAACCTATAGGAGCTAGAGACTTGAAATTTTAGCTGTGGGTCCGCCTAGTCCATGCGCAGATCGAGTTTGTTTCCGATAATCGATAATAGCAAACCAACTTGTATTGCCTATGTAATTAAGCCACAATTGAAATGCAATTGTCATTTTAAGAATACACGAATATTTTATAGTACAATATGAATTGCTACTGAAAATTTCATCAAGATCGGTTAAGAAACACGAAAGAAAATGTGTTTTGCCCTGCAAACACGTGCAGTAGGAAGCGCAAATTCCAAGAGTTTCTGTATACATGTACACACACATTGCGATTGTATTGTTTTCTGTGCTGCTATTTTAATTCGTTTTTTACTACTAAAGCAAACAAGAGCAAAGCGCGATCTGCATTTGGTGTATATGAGAATAAAAGGGTTCAGGGTATACCCTAGTCGGGAGCTCCCGACTAGAACCTCTTACTTGTTTTTTATTTAAATAAAAGTAAATGACACAAATGAAATATTTATATTTTTTATTCTTGTATTTTAGTTTTCAATAGTTTAAAATAGTTTAAAATAGGTCCCCACACTATTTTATTTAAAATAAAAAATAAACTAAGTCGTATTTCTGCGAGGGTAATTCATCGTCGGCTTGACGAAGAATTCTAAGAAAATACCAAAAATTGAACATTTTCCAATTTTGCGACTTGTGCACACGCACACTCTTTCGAGTGAGCATTCGTCTGATATTCATTCATGTGCAAAATTGCTATTTTCCATGCTTGTTGTAAGGGTAAGGGTACCTGAACGATGGCATAAGTGCATGATAACTTTTTGGGCCTGCCAAGCACGCACACTTACACACTTTTCTATATGGATGGAAGCATTTATGCGTCTGTGTGCCTGTGGTTGCCTGCCTGCCCGACGCGAATTTGACAAGATTTGAAGGTTTTGGCATTTCTGAATTTCGAGCTGTACACACACACACTCACATATGTGTGCGAATGTACCGATCAAGAGCTTGTCGTAAGACAGATATTTTCATCAATGGGTGCGTAAATTTAGGCGACGGGCACGGTCTTAGTATTATAACATTGACAGGCTCAGACAAAAACAGAATACAGTCATAAAAAATCGCAGCAAACAATCGAACGTCTGGACAAGAAATATTTGTAAAGGTTAACAGAAGATTACGTTAAAAGTTATCATCTATATTAAAAACTGAAATTGGTTAAGACGATAGCAACACGACAGTTATAACAAACTCGGCGAAAAAGGACATATGAACAAGAGGATCAAGGATACCAACACCAAATGCAGCGCGAGCTACAACACGTAAATAAAAAATAAAATTTCAATTGGACTAGATCCTGTAACTGACTGCGCTATTTACTACCATCTCTACACTACAGTCATAATACAAATTCATTTTTATCGAACATAAAATAAAAAAAGTGGCAGCACATACACACAGCTCAGAAAACACAATCGCAATTGCAATCCTGTTTATAAAATAGCTATTAAATGAAAGATACTTGATCTTTATATACTATCCTAAAAGCTACCTGTCAAGTTTAGTGAATAATTCTTGTAACCTACGAGTATTGTTAAAAAATAAAGAATTAGATTTTTAATCGAAACGGGATAATTGATCGATTATAGGGAAAAATCTCGTACTGGCTACAAGCACTAAACCACTAACCAAATAACATATAGACTGGGCGACCCGTACATTTGGTGGTGACAAGCGTTTAAAGTGCGGCTGGTCCAAAGTCGCCTTCGTTTTTGTTCGGGTTCTAGACATGCCCGTATGCTTTCACAGCAAGAGAGTAAGAATACATATGACCTGTGTCGTAGAACGGCATCGCTGTCTTTTTACTCGCTCACTCTACAGGAAACTGCTTTGGCTTACTCTCATCCATATGATTTGTGCGATAGAACGGCATCGCTGTTTTTATCACGCTCCCACTACAGGAAACTGCTTTGGTTTACTCTCAGTGCTCTTTCAATTTGTCTATGTACCGTTTAAAGTTTTGTGTGTGTATGTGTCCGCACAAGCAAAAAAGCCCACAAATTCAGTTTTTCTCAAATATCTTCCCTTTTGAATGGACGAGTAATATAAGCTTGCCACGTCGATGCGAAATTCTTGCATTTTAGCTCGTTATTGTTGGAAAGGGTACCTAAGTGTTGGCATGTGTGCATTTAAAAGTTTTTGGACTTGCCATTCACGGATACTTGCATATTTTCTACATGAATAGAAACATTTATGCGCTTGTGTGCCTGTTGGTGTCTGCCTGTCCGATGCAAATTTGACAATATTTAGGGATTTCTGAATTTCGAGTTATATAAAGAGAGCATTGAGAGCACTGAGAGTAAGTGCGAGCGAGATAAAAATAAACAGTTCTATCGCACAAATCATATGGAAGAGAGTAAGCCAAAGCAGCTTCCTGTAGTGTAAGCGAATAAAAGACATATGTATATCTTACTCTTTTTTTGGACCAGATGTCACCGATTTTTTAGTGCCCACATTTCTTCTACGGCATGTCCCATCTACATATACATACATATGCTCTTTGGTTAGTGCCACAAGTAAGTATTTAGCTCTTTAAGGTTCTGAGAGCGACGCGTTCATATATACGGACGAACACGCAGACAGACAGTCGGACGGACAGACAAACGGACGTGGCTAGATCGACTCGACTATTGATCAAAAATATATATACTTTATGGGCGGATATGCTGCCTTCTCCCTGTAACATACATTTGCTCAAAAGCAATAAGCCATGTTCACAAATTTTCAAAGGGTTCAGGCAAAGACTGTGAATACAAATTTGGGATAGGTGCATGATCAGCGCTACAAAAATAACAAAATTTATTTCTGTGCCAGCCAAAGCCAGAGCAGTGCATAACAACATATACATACATATTTTGATGTAGCTATGCATGCATAATTCATACATACAAACATAGGTGCTTGCACGCCATTGGCTAAACTTCTCTGGAGCATACACTGTCCAAAAACAAAAGTGAAATAAATCTATGTGTGATATTTTCTTAACATAGTTATTGCACAAGTTGCGCCCTGTAAAAAAATTATTTTATTTTTAAATTTTCCTGCAAAATTAATAGTTAGTATCTAGGGTAATGTATCATTTAAATAAAGCATGCATTTCATGGATAAACCAAAAGTACTTTGCGATCGTAAGTTTAAAACTATTCGCTCAATGTACTTCGAAAACGAAGCGACGCAAAGCACCATCGACCAGCTTTGCTGAAGGCAGGCTGGCGACTAACTTCGTTGCTCGTGTCAGCGCATCAGCAAGCCGCGACTTCGGCATTCCGTTCGTCTGAGCGAACAGCGAAAACTCCAACGCCAGATGAAACGCCAGACATGAAATTTTCCGTCGCATGCAAATGCATGGGCGTTACTCATCTTAGTGTTTATATTGTCTGTGGTTAAGGGTATAACAATTGCCGTACTTTGTGCAATCGCGTACTAGTACGTAATTGCGGTGATTAAAGCTAAAACTTAAAATGCCTTTCATTTTCGGTTTTTAATTTATTTATAATAAATTAAACTTATGATTGATCGGAACTATTTTTAACTTTTAATTGCGTGGTTTGGATGTTACTTTCGTATATTTGTTCACTTGGATAATAATCTATAAGTTTTCCATTAACGGTTTCATGTGTAGATTCACGAAGCTGTAATTCATTCTCCGAAATTATTTTTCGGACTAGTTCATCATCTGTTCCTTGTTCGCTTTGAACATAGGCTTGACTCCAGTTTTCCAAATTAACAATATTTAGAGATTGTTTTGAATGTCCAATCATATCGATTCCATTTTTCTTACAGAAATCTAATGTCCATGCAACCACAAAGAAGCATGCTGCATTCATTGGAAACGCTCGTAATAATGTAGAATTTAATCCGCGGAAAAAAAACTTTATGCCCTCTTTCTCATACTTTTTTACTGCACAGTCGACGAACCCATTATATAAAGCATGTTTCCCAAGGGCATCTGCTTGCATATGTGTTTTGACGACATCGATGGGATAGCAGGCTAACCACGATGACATTCCAGCACAGCCTCCTGCCATAAGCATATAGAGTACATTGGGCTTATCTTTAAGCTGCATTATATATTCGTATGAAACGAAGTAGCTGGCAAAACCTTACAGAAAATAAATAAAAATCTAGTTTTTATTAATTCATAACTAGGTTGGAAATTATATAGATTCTCTTTTACCTGGAATATCCCTTAGTATTGTTGCTGTAAGTCCTTTGAACGTGCCTTTGAAACCTTCTGTTCGATGTATGTAAAGCAAGCAATCAATAGGTCCTTTAAATTTATGCTGGCTGTCGATCTGATTCGATAATTGCAATCGCGTTTTCGCTAACTCCATGGGGGAACATATGAAGCCCTGTGCTATACCGGCAGTGGCTCCAGCCCAAAAGTGTGACATTAAAGAATTTGGGTTATCAGATAATCTCTGTATGTTTCCATAAACTCCAAACACTATTGCGTTTACTAAACCGATTCCCATCATTGGACTGCTGATTCCCCGATATAAGCCACGAATATTATCTAACATTAATATTGTTTTTAAACAGTGAATTGTTCCTTTATATTTTGGATTCTTAGGGTCATCAGTTTGCAAGTGAACTTTTACTGTATCGAAAGGGTGGCCGACAAGTACTCCTGCAGCACCTAAAATATTTATTAATAATTAAATATGAGTGTAGTTATTAAATCCGTAGGCAAAAATCATGGAATGCCGAAAATTAAAGACGCATCATTACAAGTATGTACATATGGATAAATTGAAATAAAGAGTATTACTTTGTCTATGTGGCACTCTCCATTACATAGTAAAAAATCTGATATTGATTGATAACTGGTTGATTGCTTATTAATGGTTGCAGACAAACTCGGAAAGTCGGCAGGACAGACCGACAAAGGTTAAGGAGGCGAAGTTTCGGTATAAGCTCATTCGGAAAGATTTGTCAGAAAATTCGGGTCACAGATTTTAGGTATCTCCCCAAAGTTTCGTCCGATCAGATATAAGTTTAATATCAAAGCTCCACATATTAACTTAATAAATACGTCTTTAAGCGATTTTGGAAATTCTATTCATATATAACTAGCTTAAGTTGCCTTATAAGGTAGTAGTGATCTTGTTAACAATAAAATATATATACATTTTTAATAAAAAAAATAAAAAAAAAAAGGAAATTCTATTCGAAACTGGGGTAAATTAGTCGGTTAAGGTCGTATGAAACTTAAATTCGTGAATTTAAAAAAATCTAGTCTTAGGCGTGCCCTTTACTGACAACAAGTAACCTAGTTCTTACAGCTTGGCTTGAACATCAACCCAAAAATTGAGTCAGCCAAACAGTCAGGACAATCAGTCTTATATAGATAACATTAATATTGTTATTTAAATTTATTAAAGAAGTTTTAAATATTTTTAAAAGTGGTAAACATAGTCATTGCATAAAAAGCTCGAACTGCCATCCAAATCTAGAGTCGATAGTATTATTTACTGTGCATCCCTTGTTGATGTTGAATGTTGACCTCGAGCTATTTTAAAAATGTACATGTTTATTGTACTTATCTAAATGTGAATGCATATGTATGTAAGCATTTAAGATACTATATGTAACTTTATATTATTGTGAAGTTAAATGATATTTTGCATTTTGCAAAAGGAAGCTTTTATTTTATTTTATTTTATTTGCGCTGGAATCGATCAGTGCCTTCTGATCTCTACCAAGCGAATATCTAAGGAAATGTTGTATAGTTACTATTAACTTATATGATATATACAATGAAATTATTTACAATGATGAGGAAGAAGATGATAAAATAATACGCCTGGTAGGTAGGTCGTCGGGGTGCAGCCTTCGGAGGCGCTCTCACTGATGGGGTCAGCCAGGACCTGCAGGTGCTGCAGCAGCTTGTCAGCAATCCAGTCTTCGATAAAAATCTATCATTCGTTTAACAAAAATTCAATTGAACTCAAAATATAAAGCTCTTCGGTTATTTCGAGTTTCCAATAAAATAAAATATTACAAATTTAAATTGGTTTTGCAGCGTTATATAGACAGTTCTTCAATATAATAAAATAATTACCATATTGAAAAAACTAACAATTAAGTGGACCAAAATGTGTTAATTTTGGTTAATGTGTTAATTAAAACCAAAATTTTTTGTTAACAATTTTTTTTTTTCATCTCCATATATAAATTGTTTATTCAGACTGACTGATATGTGATCAACGCCCCAGGGCAAACAGCTAGGAAGATGGAGTTACCTTACACGGGGCTTTAAAAAATTCTACCCGCTGGTGTAGAAATATCACAAAAAACATGTGTATGGCTTACCAACTGATAGGTTAAAATTCATTTATTAAGAAGCTTTATGAAAATTCGTTTGAGACGTTTTTCAGTCTTGTCCGATTTGCTTCAAAGTTATTTTCAAAGCCCTTTATATGGAGGAATCGATTTTGGAAACTCCACCCGCCACGGAAAACTATTGCTGCAACTTTTTTTTTGCCATCGGATCGGCTTTTTAATGGAAAATGCTCAAGGGTTTAATGAACAAGTTAATTTTTCGTCTTCAAGATTCTCACCACAAGAATAACATGTGTGGAAATCGTTGATTACAACTAATGGTTCTCTATTCGATTGACTTTAAAGTAGAAGTGGAGTTCAAGATAGAACGAGCAGAATTAAATTTTACACATGCGGAAACTGGGTGAAAAGTAATATCTAAAATGTTTAGCATAACACCCTCCACGGGAAAGGGCCGTTAGCGTTGGTCAAAGGTTCCATAGGGAATGATGAAGATGTGCGCTTTCAAACGTTTACTTGAACACCGTGAATCCATCTTTGACCTTCGGGAAAAAAGAGTAATAGTGACGCCGTAGAATGATATAGAGAAAAAACAACTGCTACTACGCAACGCAAATACATGATAAGGATACAAGAGCTGTAGCTCAAAGACCTAATGAAAATATTGGAGAGCTACAAGCAGGATGCTGAATTCTCTTTCAAAGACGAGTTACTCGACACAAGATATATAGATTACAAGATATTGATGACAATTTACGAGCTTGAGAGAAAGTTCTCAAAATCGTGCCATACAGCCAGCTTAGCAGTCTAAGTTAAAGAGAGATGCGAGAAACAATGTGACTTGCAAATTGAGCGTAGACTTCTTTCTGCAAGTTAAGCTCTTGAACAAAATAACTTTATCTGCAAAGTTGCCATGCAGCTGCAAAATAGGGAAAGCAGCCATATCAGAGCCATGGCGCGGCAGCAACAAACAAAAGCCCAACATATTCTGCAAATAAGCGAACAAATGGAAATCACAAGGTAGCTTGAAAGTGAAGTGCGAACAAAATTGTGCTGCAACTCAGCAACAAAACGTAACGGCAGCTACAGCATTGCCAGCGTTGCCTAGAACGAATGCTGAAACAGAGACGGAGGCATTGTCTATGCTACTGTTGCAGAAACTCAGCAAATTTGTGAAAGACCAGAAGAACAGCAAATCACTGCAGAATTCGCCTTAACAGAAAAAGCGACGTAGAATTCGACGGAAACGGTTGTGCACACATGTGCAAGATTTGGATGACAATTACTTACGCATGCTATTCAACACAAAACTGAAAGGAAATGCAGTGGTTATATGCCAATAAAACGCACATACTGGCGCCATTTCAAAATCAGACATACAACTAAAATTCGAGCAACGGAAGTAGCAAACATAAGAGAAGTTTTACTTTGAAGATAAGATAATGCTGACCAGACCATCAATGTCGACTTTGACAAGTTTTTAGAGCAAATTTTCGAGGGAGTACCGTACGAGACGTTGCGCGACCAAGCCCGGATACAACGCTTCGCTAATCCTGAGCAGATGTAACAGGCGTTTGTCAACATAGTTTTGCCAAAGCAAGAGAGGTGGACATCAACAACGCCACTGGCCAACAATGACCTACGTTGTCGAAACTGCAACTAACTAAAGAGATTTCCTGGATCTTATTTCGCATGCGGCAAAACTACAACAGCTGCGTAAGATGTTTAAAAATATATTTGTCGTAATATTAAACTATTTACTACTAGCGGGTATAACCCGGCCTTGCCCGTGGCACGTATGTTATAAAATCAAAGTTTTCTAAAAGCTTTGAAAATGATTTTGAAACTGATCGGACGGGAATCAAACAAACTTAAAATTTACCAAAAAAAACTTTGAAATGCATTTTACACCGAAGGAGGTTAGGTTTTTTCGAAAAATGTGAAACACGTCTCAAATGATTTTTCTTATAGATCTTTGGAAATAAATTTGAACACAAAACGTCATCCACCAAATCTTCGACCCCCATTTGCACCAAGGACGGATGGATTTTTCAAAAAGTGTGATGCACCCCTCAAATGAATTTGAACATAGATCTTTGAAAATGAGTTTGAGGCCGATCGGATGGTAAACAAAAAACTTTCATACAACCGTTTTCCGCCAATTTACCACTGTTGCGGGTGGAATTTTCCAAATCGCTGAAATACGTATTCATTTAGTTCTTATGGAGAGCTTTGAAAATAAGCTTGAAGCAAATCGGACACAACTTAAAACTTCGCCCAAAAAATCTTTGAGTCGCATTCCACCCGAGAAAGTTTGGATTCTGCGAAAAGTGTGAAACACGTCTCAAATGATTTTTCTTATAGATCTTTGGAAATGAATTTGAGCGCGAAACGTCACCCACCAAATCTTTGACCTCCATTTCCACCAAGGAGGAACGGATTATTCGAAAAGTGTGAAACACTCCTCAAATAAAATTGAACAATTATCTTTGAAAATAAGTTTGAGGCCGATCGGATGGTAAACAAAAAACTTTCAAACAACCGTTTTCCGCCAATTTACCACTGTTGCGGGTGGAATTTCCCAAATCGCTGAAATACGTGTTCATTAAGTTCTTATTTAGAGCTTTGAAAATTAGTTTGAAGCAAATCGGACACAACTTAAAACTTTGCCCAAAAAATCTTTGAATCGCATTCCCCCCGAAGAAGTTTGAATTCTGCGAAAAGTGAAAAACACGTCTCAAATGAATTTTCATATAGATACTTGGAAATGAATTTGAGGGCGAAACGTCACCCACCAAATTTTTGAGCCCCATTTCCACGAAGGAGGCATGCATTTTCCAAAAAGTGGGAAACACCCCTCAAATGAATTTGAACAAAGACCTTTGAAAATAAATTTGAGGCCGATCGGATGGTAAACAAAAAAGTTACATACAAACGTTTTTCGCGATTTTTCCACACTTGCGGGTGGAATTTCCCGAAACCCCGTCTTAACGTGCACCTACATCACATAAGGTAACTACAGTGAAAATTTCAGCTTCCTAGTTCTTACGGTTTGGGCTGTGCGTTGATCACCAATCAGTCAGTCAGTCAGTCAGGACAAACAGTTTTATATATAGAGATAACAGAATGCCTCATAGACTCCGGCAGCGCGATTTCATTCGTAAAAAATTTTGTATACCCAGTAAAATCCGTTTAATTCAGTTTTTAATTCATATTTTGGACTAATGAAAACAAGTATAATATATTTGGGATTTCTTTTAAGAAGGGAAGACATGAGAGTAGATGACAAGGGATTAGAATCGATATAAAATTTATCGGTACCAGGCAAAACGCATACAGTACATTTTTAGGTTT